ATGTGTGTGTGTGAGAGAGAAAGAGAGAGAGAGATGTTTTAAAGAAGATTGCTGATGGCAAAAAACAAAACAAAACAAAAAAAAACGGAAAAGTGATGCTAGAAGAATGTCGTATAGAACTAGGCAGAGGAAGCTGACACATCCAAAATCATTAGCTAGAGATTCCAAATGCATCTAAAACAAGGGGCCAGGGCATCTCTGGGAAGACCTGAGTGGAGGTGGCAGGAAGGAGGGTCGAGCAAGAAAGTAAAAAAGTGTGTAAGAAATGACTCTTCTACCCAGTGACCTTTAATGCAATTGCCCTGCCACAGTGGGTGTCTAATAAATCACAGCGATGGTAACAAAGTGGCAGTGTGATGTAATGGAAAGAATAAGGGATTTACGCCCTGGAGTCCCAGGAACTGTGACCGTGGGCAAGTCACGTCATGTCTTTTGAGCCTTGATAGCTTTATGTGTAAAATAGGGTCCATAATAATTCCTGTCCTCACTATTTGACAGTGTGTTTGAGAGAAATATTAGTAAAAGTCTGTTTAAAAAGTTAATATGTGCCGAAGTCAGTGACGGGAATAGAGAGGGAAGGATTTTCTGGGGTGCTAGTGACATCTGCTTCCTGGCCTGATGCGGGTTACCTGGGTGTGTTCACTTGGTGAAAAGTGGCTGAGATTGGTGCATTTTTCTGTATGTCTGTTATATTTCTCTAAAATGTTTACTTTTAAAAGGTAGAGTAGTTCAAAATAGTCTTTAAAGTTAGGATGATGATAAAGAAAAGGAAAACTACAAATGTGGGTCAGAAGCTCACACTCTTTATCCTCTTCTCTCTTCCTAGCCATCTTATTATATCTGGAGACTCAGGACTCACAAAGGGATCGATGATAATAATCAGTTGCTTTCTCTGTGTGTTTTTTGCCTGGATACTGAACAGTATTTTCCTGGTAAAGAAGCGGGAGGGATTAACTGGGAAGTTTCCTGCATGTGAGAGGGGTGGACGATAAAAAGAAAGGAGCCCAAGCAGTTCACATCAAGGGAAAGACGTGATTAGAGAGATGTGACACGCAAAGAAATTATCTGAAAAGTGAATTCGGTTGAGAAAGTATAAGCCCCAAAGAGCCCTGAGCAGCTGGTCATGATCAGGTTCTCCATCTTTCTGTCAAATGTAATCGTATCTGAGTTGGCAGGCTATTTATTGCTAAAGTCGAAGGGCCAGATTTTACACTAAACATATTTACACATTTACATTCATGGCCCTATAAACACTCCACGTTTCACTGGCTGTGACATCAAACACATTTGCCAACAAAAAATACATGTCTAATTACAAAATCATAGGAGAGGAGGCAAGCAGCAGCTGTTGGGCAGTGAGCGTGCATGTCCGTGTGTGCATATGTGTGACCCAGCTGCAACACCAGGAAACCCGGGAGCAACAAGAATGGATGCTGACAATGCAGGGCCCCCTGCACTTGTCTTCTGCTCCCCAGGCCTGTCCTTGTCTGGTTCAGTTCTAAAGGGGGAAGGGAACCTCTGGCATTCCAATTAGTTCCAAAGTCACCCCCTTGGAGGAGTCCAGAGACACCAGGGTGGTTCCTGGGCAGATTCTGGATTTGGACAGACTCTGATGCTGATATGACCTGTAAGTCGCCCCCAGATGACTTTTCTGAGTCAGTAATAAAAACAGGTGTGAACAAAATGTGTAGCCAGCAGAGAATTTTTAAACTAAAACTAGGCTGCTCAGTTCCTGGCTTTGGGCGGTAAGCTCAGATCCCTACCCATCCATAGCAGTTGTAATAACACTATTAGCTGCTCCAAGCTTGGGCCTTGGTCAAGCAAGGAAATCAGAGCCACCAGGGCCAGAGAGAGAAAAACAGAACAGACGCAGCCTCAACCACTGGCCTCAGACAGCCTTTAATAAACGACACAGGCTGGGGTTCCATCAAAATAACCACCTTCCATCAGAATGACCACCTCCCCCAGCTCTCTCTCAGGACAGGCTACAGGAAGAAATGGTAATTTAAAAAAAAAAAAAAAAACTTTGAAGGGCAGAAGCCTTTCCCCACATGGATGCTCACTACATTCACTGTAAGAATTTTGATAACAAGATATCCACAGTTCCAGTCCTGTCAGCAGAAAGTTTGGGCAAAAAAGGGCTGCTGAGCAGGGGATAAGGAAGTAGAGATGGGCAGACATTCAGATGTCACAGCAAGTAAAAAATGGGAAAGGTCCTCACAATTTTTTTTCCTTCTCCCCAGATTCTTTTTCTCTTCTTTTTTTTTTTAAGAGGAAGGGAAGTGGCTCTCAAATAAATGCACGGGATAGCGATGGAGAGGAAACACGTTATTGAGCAGACGCGCTAGCTTATTTTAAAGAAATAAAATAATTGCCCAATGGAGAAAAAAGAAATCAACCAAGAAACGATCTAAGGTCACGACACCGTGTGTGGGACAAGGAGCAATTCAACCCATAAGGGCTTCATTACCTCGGCAATAGATAACATTCGGCTAAATCTAGCTGCAGATTACATCTGGGCAGCACAACAGAGCCCTGAATGGAGAGGCTCCTTTTTGTGTGGTCCTGCTCGCTCGGGAGCCGCCTGAACCATTAGCCCCAATATAGCCCTCTCCCTATTAACTGCAATTCCCTCCCGCCTGCCCTCCGGTCATTTGTCTCCAGGCTCTACGGGGCGTTTGATGAGCAGAGAAACAAGGAGAAGGGGAGAAAAGCGTCGGGTTAATGAGTTGTATCAAATCCACACTTTGTAGCTGGGAGGAGGAGAGCTGGTGGCCAATGTTTGTCCAACTGGTTTATTTTTCGAGACCCAGGCTTTTGAGGAAGGCTCGTTCAAGCAGACTTCGTCCTTACAAACACACAAACATCCTTCTGTTTGCCTTCAAAGAAAAGGGGACCCGAGCTGGATTTGCATGCGAATGAGGAGCCCCCGGAGGAGACGTGCTGGCCCATCAAAGGCCGCGGTAGCTGGGCGCCCGGCGGCCTTTGTTCCAGCACCTGCTCGCCCGCGTGGCCTGACCGGGCGCGGCCCGCGGCCCGAGGCCCAGCGTCCACTCCTCGCCTGCCCCGCGGCCCTGGCCTGCGGCCCACAGCCCGAGGCCCACGCCCGCTGCTCGCCTGCCCCGCGGCCTGCGCTTCCCCCACCTCGTGCGTCCGCAGGCCAGCCTCGCTGGGCCAGCGAAGTCCACGGGGGACCCCCAACCCGGAGGGCGGGGAGCGGAACTCGCGGGACGCAAAACTCAAGGCCGAGGCAGGCGGCCGGGGTTACCTGTCCTGAGGGCTCAGGGGCTCGCGATGCGCCCAGTCTCTCGTCTCTCGGGAGGGCGCGGCGGGAGCGCAGCTGGGGCCGCAGCGAGGGCGGCGCGGAGGGAGGGCCGGGGCCTGCTCGCCGCCCCCTTCGGAGCTCGGACGGCCTGGGAGGTGGCGCTGTCCGCCCCTGTCTCAAAGAGGCGGGAATCCGGACAGAGAGAGGGCCGAGCCGGTACTTCCCGCTCTCGGGACATCCAAGCATCATGCGAATAGTAACGATACACACAGTTTGGCCCCGCGGCTCCCTTCATGACTCAGATCCACGCGTGACACAGGCCGCGAGAGGCCAGCGGGGCAGGGCCGCTGGGGTCGGCCGGCTGACCCCTCTCCCCCGGCCGCGGCGGCGTCCGCACCTCCTCGGTTCCAGCCTCCTCTCTCCGGGCCGAGCTAGGGCAAAAGCAACTTTCGCATATAAGATTACGGTGTAAGGATATTGAATTTGTATCTGTATGTTCAGTGGTAAATTTGAGTACGGGTGAGTGTGTTTACTTTAAACGCTTAATCTCTTCCGAATATTTCATTGCAAAAAACCCCAGAACTTATTTTGAGGCTGAGAGTCAGTTTTTTCCTCCCTAAAAAGGGACAAGAGGGGAGGGCATCAAGAGTGAATGTCACTGGAAAATATTGGCCTTTAATGCAGTCTTCATTAACTTGCTAGGTTAAATCTGCAGGTCTTCAGATATATATCTGTCCAGATATTTGAAAAAAAATTAATAAACAGATTTAACTTCTCCAACTCACTGATATTCAGCATTTCAATTACATACTACATATGCCTTGGTTTTATTTGGAGCCGGTAATAACATCTGTAGTCATCAAAAACTAAAGTCTCACATCTTTTCAAAGAACTAGAAATTACCTGCAACAAGCAGTTAATAAAAACAGAACATTTCAAAAAAGATATCCTAAATCACCTAAATTGTATAAATATTAGTTCAAGAAACATGTGATGCATTTTTGTTTTTATTCTTTAAATTGTGTACTATTCTAAAACTGAAAATTTCTCTTACATACCCCAGTTATTCATTTACATTAGAATGTTGATGTTAAGTTTGCCTGTTAGGATAAAAACTTGTTTATGCAATTACTGGAATGCCTTCGGTCGAGAAAATAATGGCTTTAAATACTAGAACTTTCAAGTACAATTTATTTTATGTATGTAAATATTTTCTTCTTGAGGTCTTTAAAGCTATTTAATTCATGATGATCTCTATTAATTTTATTCTATTCATTTTTTACACTAAAAATTACCTATTTGCTAGTGTTGCTTCCATGACAATATATTAAGTTGCAGAGTTTTTACAGATACGAACAATATTGTGCTCAAAATTGAGTGGAAATTAAATGAAGTGGGAAGCTCAAAAATCAAAAGTTCTATAAACTTATCTTAGGGTGACTACGGCTTTAATTTTAAATAGCCTCAAAACTCTTCAAAATGGAACAGAATGAGATTTGAAAATGTATACCACAGTGACTCCTTTTACTTGTAGTCATTTTAAAATAATTTCTGCTCTTCTGCATTGGTTTTGACTTACAAAGCATACGTAAAAGATCATGGCACGATGCTTTTGTTAAATTCTCTTCGAAAATAGTATTTGTCTATTCTATAATGGGTTCCTACTTATCTCACATAGAAACTTCTTTTAACAGAAAAGAAAATAAACCAAGAAGTGGACCACTCAAGCCAATTCTTTTGGTAGATTTTCTTTGAAAATTAAGCTTTTTATTCTGAAAAAGTGTAAAAATCTTACATTAGAATAGTACAATAATAATTGCCAGTAAAATTTACAATACTCCTTGTAAAGAATACGCAGTAAGTACAAAATAAAAATTCTGCATGTCTATTATGATACAAAACACAGGTTAAAATAAAAAATGATGGTTTTGACTTTTTTCCTTGTGTAAACATGTTCATCATTTTTTCCTTTTCATGAAAGCGTACACCAGACAAGTGTCCTCAAATAAAAAGTATCTCTTCGCTGGCATTCTTCGGGACCTTTACTATTTTTGTATTATTCTTTCTTTGCACTTGATTGACTGATTTTTTTTTTTTAGCGCCTGGACCTGAGAATCTCTAGACCTCAAAAAGGCTTAGATTTTTAAAAACTTCCCCAAAGTCAAGGAAGCCCCTCGTGCTTAGACAGGACGCCACCCCCCCCACCCAGCACCCTCTTCCTCCCCACCGCGGTCGGTCGGGGGCTGCAGCACAGGGCGACTTTGCATAAATAGAGGGACCCGCAGAGCCCAAAGGCGCGCCCCAGCTGGTGCCAAACACTGTCTCGTCTGCGAATCCGAAGCGGCGAAAATGGGGCCGCGCCGGGAGGAGCGAACGAAACGCCGAGCCACCGAGACGGAAAGCGGCCGGGGTGCCTACCTTCTCCCGCTCGGGCGCGCCGGCGCCGCGTTATTAACAATTGGAAATCCTAGCCGCGAAGCTCTCCACGCTGGACAGGGCGGGCCCCGGGTGCAGCGTCCCCAGCGCGGCCGACGACGAGACGGAGGAGGCGGCGGCGGCCGCGGCGGCCACGAGCGAGCGGGTGAGCGCGGCGGCCGGGCCCACGGCCGCCTGAGCCGCGCAGCCGCCGCCGCCGGCCCCGGCGCGGGGGGCGCGGGGGGCGCGGGGGCGCGGGCGGCGCCGCCCCGGCGAGGGCGCGGGCGAGGCCTGCACGGCGGCGGCGGCGGCCTGCGCGGCGGCGGCGGCGGCGGCGGCCGGGCCCAGGCTGCCCCCGATGATGCTCTCGATGGAGAAGGGCGAGCGCGCCAGCGCCGAGGCGCCCGGCCGCCCGCCTTGGCCGCCGCGGCCTGCAGGGGCCCGGGCAGCGCGGCGCCGAGCGGCGGCGGCGGCCGGTAGCGAAGGCGGTCCGGGCCAGCTCGGCGCCGCGCCGGGCGGCGGGGGCGGCGGCGGCGAGTGCGGGTGGAAGGCGGCGGCGGCGGCGGCGGCGGCGGCGAAGAGGGCGGAGGGCGGCGCGTAGGGCGGCAGCTGCAGGCCGTAGCCGCAGCCGTAGGGGCCGTAGCCGTAGGCCGGCGGGGGCGGCGGGGGCGCGGGCGCGAAGAGCGCGGCGGCCGCCCCCGGGTCGCCCGCGCCCCCGCGCCCCCGCGCCGCGCAGCAGCAGGGACTCGGCGGCCGCGGCGTTGGGCGGGAGCAGCGGCTGCCGCTTGAAGCGCTTCCTCCGGCGCAGGAAGCTGCCGTTGTCGAACATGTCGGCGGACTCGGGGTCCAGCGTCCAGTAGTTGCCCTTGCCCGGGTTGCCGGGCTCGCGGGGGATCTTGACGAAGCAGTCGTTGAGCGAGAGGTTGTGGCGGATGCTGTTCTGCCAGGCGGGGAACTTCTCCCGGTAGTAGGGGAAGCGGCCGCTGATGAACTCGCAGATCTCGCTCAGCGTCAGCCGCTTCTTGGGGCTCTGCAGGATGGCCATGGTGATGAGCGCGATGTACGAGTAGGGCGGCTTCACCAGCGGGTTCTTGGCGCCGCCGCCCGCGCCCCCGCCGCCGCCGCCGCCGCCGCCCGCGCCCGCGCCGCCGCCCCCGCCGCCCGCGCCCGCCCCTGCCGCCGGGGCCGGGCCGGGGGCGCCGGGGAGCCCCCCGCGCGCGGGGCCAGCAGCATGTCATCGTCCTCCTCCTCCTCCTCCAGCTCCTCCAGCTCGTCCTCCCCGGCGTACGAGCGCCGCCGCCGCCGCCGCTGCGCGGGGACCTCCAACCGCGCCCCGCCGCCGCCGCCGCCGCCGCCCTCGTCGTCGTCCTCCTCTTCCTCGTCGTCTTCGTCCTCGCCCTCCCCCACCACGTCGATGTCTGTCTCCTCGGCGAGGCCCGAGGCATCGGACATCTCCGTGCTCAGGGTCATGGCTGTGGCGCGGCGGCGGCGAGGCGGCTGTGCATAGGGGCGCCGGGCTCCGGGCTCCCGCCGCGCCCCAGCCGGGGTCCCGGGCGGCGGGCCGGGCCGGGGGGCGCCACGCTGGGGGCGCGGCGGCGGCGGCGGCTCGAGCTGCGCCGGGGCTGCGCGGCGGCGGCCGAGGCTCGCTCGGCGACTCTGTAACTCCTGCGCCGCCGCGGTGGCCGCGCGGGCTCCGCGCTCCCTCGGCCGGGCGCGCCGGGCCGGGCGGGGGCCTTGCCCTGCCCTCGCCGAGCGCCCCTCGCCCGCTCAGTCGAGGAGGGGGTGGCGGGGCCCCGCGCGAGCTGGTCAGAGTGCAGGCGCGCGGGAGGGCGCGGGACGGGTGAGTCTGGGGACAGAGCTCGGCGAGGCGAGGGCTGAGTCCAGGAGAGGGCGGGCCTTTCCTCGGCTTATAGCAGAAGGAGGCCTGTCACATGGTGTGCACGTCAGAGCGCTACCGAGGGAAGCGAAAGCAAGCCGAGGAAATCAGCCCTGCTCGGGAGAGAAAGTTCCCCGGGAAGAGGCAGCAGCCGCTGAGAAGACGCGGGAGGAGAGAGGACCCCACGCTCCTCGCCAAAGCGGCGGAGACCTGAAGCGCGCGCTGGCCCGCGGTGATCTGGACCCGGGGCCCCTGCGCGCCTCGGAGTTCCCAGCCCCCTTCTCTTCCGTTGGCCCTCAGCCCTAGCCTCGAAGCACTCCCGAGACGCGACGGTTTGACCACTCGATGGCCTGTAGGAGCCGTCCAGCGCCCGTCGTCTGAGGTGGTCCCTGGGGAACGGCTGTGAGGTCTGTTGGGTTCTCCCATCTCCCCCAGATTGGACCAGCGGCTCGCCGTGGAATCTGATGAGAAGAACCCCCCCCCCCCCCCAGTTTAAGCACAATAATAATTGTTTATTGACCTTTTAACCTGTACCCTTCGGTTCTTCTCCAAAGACGTTTGTTTTCCGCCATCTGTTAATAAAAATGCTTTTAGGCTGGCGTTTTAGCCACTTATCTGCAATTGAATGCCCTAGAAACTTGACAGCTAAACTAAGCCACTCTAATGAGAGGATCTGACAAATTTCGTGGGAATAAAGAAAGTAATAATTGAATGCAGAGAAAAAATAGACAATTTTAGTGAAAACCCAAATACACAAAAAAATCGCACCTGGGAACCACTCGAAAAAGTTCTTTCATAATCTGGTAAGGGTCTACAGTAACACGAACATTCTAATCAACACTTCACAGTAATCTCAAAATACTTCAATTACGCTAACATATATACATATCTCAGCACAGGAGAGCTTAATAATAGAAACTACAACGATAAGTAAAAACTTCCAGACCAGTTTTTTAAAACGTTTTCAGAAAATCCACTAAATATTTCCAATAGTTACTGGTGAAAAGAAACGAAATAATTTTTAAAATAAGATTCAAGTTCTGTTCAACTCAATTTTCTTTTTCAGGTGACAAGATAGTGCAAATGACTCGAATATGATGCTCTTTTTTATGTACCTGTCTTTGTCATCAACTCCAATTAATTATTTTGGCTAGTGGAAAAATCCTAATAGCTTGTGGAATTCACACTCACATAGCCATATCTTTCAGATTTTTGCATTTCCTAAATACTTCTGTTTCAAAGTGGAGACCTTGCCTCAAAATTTTAGCTTTGTGATTGAAATGACAAGAAGTGAGAATCAAAATTCAATGGCTTTGTGTAGACGCGATCATCAGCTGCCCTTGTGTATGTCTTTTTATCAACCAAGCACTTTTCACGTTTTCAAATGTTTCGTTACTCCCCTTACCAATCGCAGAGCCTCAAAAATAAACTGTCCCCCCATCTAAGACTTCTTTTATAATTGGAGGTTTTTGTTGCTGAGGACAGCTACCGACCATTACGCTTACAAATGACCCATAAAGTCCATCACAGATCTTTGAAAGATCTATGAAAACGCCTCAGAGTTCTAAACAAGGTATTTTTCATTGACTCTCGTTTGATATATGGCTGAACCGTTGAATTATTGTAAGGGGCTCTGCGTTAACCTGAGCCAACATTAATCAGCACTATTAATCAGGCATTACATTGCTTTGTTGACGTAGCCAGAAGTCCTTACCAAGGAGTTCTCTTCTACCTTTGAAAGTTTAAGCTGTGTAAGTACTCAACCGATATCTAAATAAACACCGTGATTTTCGCTGGACTGAGGGTTGGTGTGTGGCGGAGTATTTAGAGATGAAGCGGAGAGCGAGAACTTGTTCGCAGACCGCGCGTCATTTGGGATGATCAGTTGCAGCGTCTTCCTCTCTGGCACCACTGCCCTGAACTTGGCTGGACCCGGAGGGCGCGGAGATTGTCTCTACGTTCCGTTGGTCCCTTCCCAAAGGGTTCTAGGGCCCTTCCCTGGAAACGTTTGAGAAACGTGGCAAATTATCTTCTGGCCACGCAGGGGGAAGCGTTAGGATGTAGTGCAGTTAGAGCGGAGACCAGCCCGGGGGAGGCCTGCAGGGCAGAGTGTTAACGGAGGTTGGGGTAAGCTTTGCTGAAGCCACCCATGGGGCACTGCACGTGCTTCGTTTGCTTTAGTGAAGCTACACGTCTGCGTGCGACCTTTAGCTCCAGCGCTCGCGCCCTGCCACGGGCATCCTGGAGCGAGTCCCTCGCTCGCGCGCTGCCGGCTCCCGGCGGCGGCTGGGCGTCTCCACCGCACCCATCCAGCCGTACGCGGGACGGGACCCTTTGCCGCGAGGCGGGCGGGGACCACGCCGCGTGGACGCGGACAGTGGCGGGGTGGCCCGGTGGGGAGGGCTCCCCCTGGCGGCGGCGCGGTGGGGCCCGGACCCGGAGCTCCCGGAGTTTGGCGAGTGTGGACGGCGCTCCCGGGCTTCCCCGCACTGGTCTGCGGGCCGCCGGGTTTTTCTTTCGTGAGGCCCCACTTCCCCTTCTCTGGAGCGACTGGGCGGGCGCAGAGGCGTTCCCTGGGGCTGCTGGATTCTGATATTCCCGCGGGCTGCTTAGGGGCGCCAGCAGCCCCCCGAGATTAGAGCTCCGGAGGCTGCGGGACCTCGGGAGGAGGCCCCCCGACCGAGAGCTCCCTGGGGTCCAAGGGCCTCCTTCGCTGGGCGAAGGCTGGGCAGAGACTCTGGGACGTGAATACCGGGGCGGTGAATCGGGTCTCCAGTCTTTGGCCCCTGGCGCATCCCGAGAGTTGCCCCGTGAACGTGTTTCCAAACTCGGCGGACCGTTGGGGCGCGTTCCTCCTCCAAGAGTCGTTCCACCAGACTGTGTTGTGCTAGTACTTTGTGCCTGGACTCTGGGTTCTGGAGAGAGAGAAAGAAAACGGGAGTCCCTGGCGTAAGGGTGCTCACAGTCTCGTGGGGGAGCCAGGAAAATAGACCGTTATCACGCTCAGTGTCCCCCAGCCGACAGCGAGCCATGCCTGGGGGTCCCTGCCCGTGCTCGGCTCCATTCTTTCATCCCGCGCTGCCCTTCCTGCGGCTGTGCATCTTCCCTTCTCTTTGTAAACTCTGACGTCTGGACCCCAAAAAGGGCTCTATTCGTTGTTGGTTTTTTTTTGGTTTTGTTTTGTTTTGCAGTGTGTGTGTGTTAAGATACAAATAGCATAAAATTTACCATTTTAAGTGTACGGTTCAGAGGCATTAAATAATTCACATTGGTACAACCATAACCACTATCTATTTCCAGAACTTTTCCATCATCTCAGACTGACACTCTGTACCCACTAAAGAATAGCTCCCATTCCTCCCCACCCGACACCCCAACCCCTCAGCAACCACCATTCTATTTCCTTCCTATGAATTTGACTACCTTATATAAGTGGAGTCGTACGACATTTGTCCTTTGTGTCTGGCTTATTTCATTTACCATCATGTCTTCAAGATTCATCTGTGTTGTCACGTGTCAGAATTTCATTCCTTTTTAGTCTGAATAATATTCTGTTGTATGTTTATAGCACGTTTTGTTTATCCACTCACCCATCAGTGGGCATTTGGGTTGCTTCCTTCTTTTCTGTTCCTTTTTGAACTTCCACTCACCTAGCTCTTTGTAACACTCTGCATGCAGTGGGCGCTCAATAAAGATTTGTTTCTTCATTTTCTGACATCTTTTTCATCCCAGAAAGCCTCAAAGGAACCCCCTTGTCTGAAGAGAGCACACACATTAATGGAGTCACAGTGACAGCTGTCACCGTTCTTCTGGATTTGTGACCTGCTCACAGTTTTGAGACTTTCAGACTCAGACTCTGCACATTATCTTCAGGAAAAAAGTAGGAGTGGAAGCTCCACCAGAATTAGTTCCAGACAAAATTGTGATCGTTCTCAGCCACCCCCCATCCCAATACACACTTTTTACATCCTTTTTATGCCTTCTTACTTGTCCTAAATCCTAGGGGCCCAAGATGACCTTAAAATGTTTCTCTGGCTGTCCAGGGCCCCTCACTTCAGCGTTCTCCTGTGGTATAATATTGCATGTCATGAGTGTTCTTTACACGTGCCATTAAGCTAATTTCAAGGTCACGACAATGGGTGAAGTGGGTACCTCCATATGATGGCTGAGGAGACAGACTCTGAGAGTTGCTGCTAGCCATTAGAGAGGCAGTGAGGGCAGAGAGGAGCCCTCCAGCAGCGCGTCTCAGTTCCAGCAGCCTCTCCCAATACAGGACTCCAAGGGCCAGTTCTAGGCAAGGTATTACTGGCTGACAGTGGTTGGTACCTCTCCCAAGAGTAGGTACATATTAACCTGAAAATTCTGTTGATAATATGCCATAATCCAGTTTCAAACGGTGGGTCTTCAGGCAGTATAGTTAAGAGGTGAGATTCCTTTGTGAAGAAGATATTTCACTGGCCTCCTGGGTCTTACTAGGCAGTCCATACTTGCATAACAGCTCCTTAAACAAGCGTTTTGTGGCCTGAGCAAGACTCAGAATCCCTCAAGAATTCAGAATGTCAGTAAAGGTCTAAATCTGTGTTTTATAACAGCAAAATTATTTACACTGACTCAGGAATTTTCATTACTGCAGTTAACTTAGACTAACCCTCCCACCCGACACACACCAGCACAGAGAC